TTAATTTCAAATTTCGTCTTTTTCTTTCTTTTCTTTTTGTTTTCTTTTTGGGGGATTTTTTTCATGTTTTAAATCATTTCAAATATCAGTATTCAACGTTTTATGTTTCATATATCAAAGCATTATTTATGCATTTGTAATTGCAGGTTAAATGCATTCATGTCTTGCATTAAACAAAATACATGTGTGTAAATACATCTAAATGTGACTTCAGATGCAGCTTCTGTGTTGATTTAATTTGCTTGGTAACAGCCCAAATGTCTTATTATTCTAATTCCCTGATTAAATGTAAGAATTTGACTCAAAAGATAATGGACACTTTTAGAAAAAATGGCTTTATAAAGGTAAAAAGGCCCATAAAATGCAAAAATCAGTTTAAACTTATTGGAAAAGATTAATTTCTATCAGTATGAACTGACCACCACACAGAATATGAAGAATATTAAAAACATTAGGAGTCAGCTGTCTTCGGCAGTCCTTAAGGTACCAGCATAATAATACACTCAGCAAAATATCGTCTAATTATCGTTATCGATAAAATCCCATAAAATATCAAGATATCATTTTTTGTCAATATCGCACACCCCTATTTGGTAGATAAATGTCTGTGAATGTGAGATGCTAGAACTTGGTGTTATTGGAAATGCTTTTGTAGAAAAAAAAATACTTGGCATATTTTCAACTCCACATTATTTGAATGAGCTATCAGTGTCTGTAATTTCCATCTCTGTGGCCTTGATTGATAGAGAGTCAGACTCCCAGTGGTAAACCTGTGGTGTTTGATGACAGACAGCTTTATACGGGGCCTTACTCTGAAGCTAAATCTCACTGCCTTTCAATTTACCAGCAGACGTATACAACAACCAAAGATAAGATTCAGATGTCTCCTTTGAAATGTGCTGCTGTTCTCAGCAATTAAAGGGAAGATCTCCAGTCTGCTGCTTTAGTCTGTCAGTCAGCACAACATCACCTCTATTCTATAAAGTTTCACCTCTGTTCAGCTTTTTACGCTCACTGCCAGTAACTGCTGGAATTAAATTCAAGACACATTCTAGTTGCTCTTCCCACCATCTTCAAGTACAGAAACAGTGCAAAACAGTACTCGTTTGGAATGTTTTCTCAATGGTAATATGGCATCATGGCCTTTCTCACCTGAAATACATTTTACATTTTGCAGTCTGTCTCTTCTGACTCCCGTAGACAGAGGTTGGATCTCAAAGCTTTCAGTTCTCCTGTCTTTCTCTCTAGGTTAGAGGTGATGTAAGCCAGTGGCTTTGTTTCTGCATCCACAGATCCCTGTTTGCCCAGATCTTGTCTGGGAAATCGGCAGTGCGTAAGCAAGAAAGAGTCTAAAATATACACAAGCTTTAAAAAAAAAAAAAAAAAAGGCAAGAATTCATAATCCATCAATTTTCTGTTAGAAATGTCTAGACATCCCTTAACATCTCTCACTCTAGCTTTGTTCTTCCACTTAACCAGACAATTTAAAAATAATTATTAAATACAAGATAAGTAGGCCACTACAGTCTGTCTTATAAATGCTGACATTCACAGCATTGTACATTTTATACATAGAACTTTTTTTCAGGCGTGTTTATGTGACTGATTTCGTTTAGAATGGTGCAAATTGTAACTTAGTGTTTCCTCTTGTTATTTTAATAGCTTGATCAGATTAGATTCACTTTTCTCTGACTGTGGTCTAATCGGCTCAGGTGCTTAGCTTCTGCACCCCACTGGCCAATGCACACCTAGTGTTCAGCACTGTTTTGTTTTTGCTTCTTTTACTAGAGTTATAAATGACTACAGGAAATGTGAAGCATGATAAAGATTTTTTTTTTCATGTGCTTTTGGGGAATCATCTAATTTCTTATTTTTAGGTATTTTGTAATACAGTTTTATTACATCTATGGGAATGTTTATGGTTTCTAAATGCAGCAAATTTAGACATTATTATTATTGTTGTTGTTGATGTTATCTTAGAGAGAACTATTCTGTATGAGTGGTTAATTTTCGTTTTCTTACCAATATTTACTACCGATAACTTTCACCCAAAAATGAAAATTAGGCTGAGTTTTACTCACCCCCAAGGCATCCTAGGTGTATATGACTTTCTTCTTTCATATGAATCCAGTCGGAGTTATGCTTTATGTTTTAAGCTGTTTCATGGCACTCAGCGGGTGTTGCATGCATCAGTCCAAAAGAACTTGAATAAAAATCGCCCATCCATAAAAAAAAGTGTCTCACACGGTTGTGGGGAGTGAACAAAGGCCTTCTGTAGCGAATCGATGCATTTTTGTAAGAAAAATATCCATATTCAAAACTTAATAATCACTTTAATGTAGCTTGCGCCAACAGTTGTACACTGGAAGTAGTTCCGGGCGGATGACGTATGAGGTCAGCGTTGCGCATGTGCCGGTGAGTCTCGTGAAAACCAATGTTTGTTTACAGGAGCAAAGGAAGCAAAGTTTCCTTACTTTAGCAAAGGAAAACCAGTCTCCTCTTGGCTTATATCGAAATCCTCTGACATTCTTCTTTACAAATCCTTGTTTTGTACTTCTAATTCTTGACCGTTGTTTTGTTCTGATCTCTCCGGTGCGTTTCCGACCTCACCTCGTATGTCATTCCCCCGGAACTGCTTCCGTTTAAAACAGTGAGCGCAAGCTAGATTCAAGTGATTCACAAAAATATCAACATTAATTTTTAATGCAGGAAATTCTCTGGTGTATTCAGTTCTTTGTCTGGTTGAACTGTATAAATTATAGCACTGGCCTTTGCCCAGAAATGGACTAAATGCCTTTAATGCAGTCCTTACATAAACCACAAAAAAGAGAAAGTGTGAGGTCTAAGTTGTTTTGAAAACCTCTTATGCTATAATTTCTTATGCTATAATTTCCCACAGTGGTCTTTCATTTAGCTCGTATAAACACCTGCTAAAATTTGAATGCTAGAATGTTTAGAAGAGAACTTGACCAAAGTTACTGCCATACACATTTCAGACTCATACCAACTCAGGCAGACTCATTCAGACTCATGCAATGTTTTAAATTAATTAATCAGAAATAAGCGTAAGAATTTTAAGACAATAATTTAACAATAAAAACTTTAATGTTTGTCTGCTTTGTGACTGTGCTATTGAGCTTTGGCACCTTTGGCCCACACAGAATCACAGCTCAAAGTTGAATCTCACAGAGACTGAGCCATATGTCACACTTTTGTTTGGAGGGGTCTGGGGTCCGCAGGCTCATCTCTTCTTGAAACAGGTACTGAGACCTCTATTAATCCATCAGAAGAGCATTAGATTTCTAGATGTCAGTGTGGAGCTACTGGGGGAGGGAGTCAGTGGATCAGACACACTAAACATGATGTACTGTCTCCATTTTGCCATTTCATCCAGTTATAAATCCACCTCTGCCTTTGTCATCAAAGCAACTCCTGTCTGTCAACACATCATTGTAGTGTGTCCTATATCCTTTTATGGAGCAGTACTCCTGCAGGGTCAAAAGTGGAAGCATTTACTTTGCTTAAACATCAATTGTTGCAACCTGGAGCCAGCATTCAGAAGAGATCAAGAACCTCAGCTAAACATTGATTTCCAAAGGAATGCACCAATATTTAAATTCTGGCTGATGCAGATAAGCCAGCACTTATTTTAGTGTTATGAATGATAATCAATAAATTCTATACTGTTTTGTCTGAATAAAAATAAACAAATAATTATTTTAAATGGTACAAGTGAATTTAGGCAGATTTGCTGAAGATTACATTTAACAGTGTTGTTAAATTATTAGTGTTTTTAAAGATTAAATTTAAAGGGATAGTCCACCAAAAAATTATTTACCCACCCTCAAGTTGTTCCAAACCTGTATAGACAGAACATACTATAAAAGTCAATGGTTACCATCAACTGTTTGGTTATCAATATTCTCCAAAATATCTGCTTTTGTGTTCAGTAGAAAAAAAATGGTTTGGAGCAACTGGAGAGTGAGTAAATGATGACAGAATTTTCATTTTTGGGTCCCTTTAAGTGAGCATTTTATCCCTTTAAGTGAGCACTTGATGATGGCAAAGGTCACTGAAAAAAATAGTAGCAAGCATGCTCAAACAAATTAAATGAAGACGTTTCACTAACCATACTTTTTTTTTTCCTCAGGGGCAGAAGTATTATTATTATGAAATGGGAAAAAATTCTGACCCCAGTAAAGAAGATAATGTGCAGTTTAAGAATGCATTGACTGTCCACCCAGTGTCTGATCCTGAGCAGATGTACAGACTTCACAAACACTTTACTGAGATCGAGCTGCAGAAAACGTATGAGGAGATCGAATGACTACATGGTGACCCGGACGCGCATGTCTTCGGATGTCCAGGAGATCCTGGAGAACCTGGATATATATGATATGTTCGTCAAATACTCTGGCCTCCATGTTTTCCGAGCAGTGGAGCCGGCCCTGAATCAGAAATACAGCTACCAGCCATGCAATCCTCGTCTTAGTGAAGATATCTACCTGAGGTGTTTGCAGAGCACCCTGGACAGCCTTGGATCACGCTCTCAGCTCGCCATGCTGCTGTTTGAACAGGAACAGGGCAACAGTACTTAAAACCAAACCCTGAAGATTGAGAGATGACCCAGAGGACATAAATGGTTTTTGTCCGTTGGGCTGATGCTTTACTTGTAGTCGGACAGTGCTGAACAATCAAAAATGCTGTCGGTACCAAAAGAAAGACTAAAAACGTTTTAAATCTATTTAAAAATAGCAGATTTTTGTGACAACGGGATTTATGATTTGCTGTTAGCTGTTGAAATGATCACTCCCGTAACATATCTAGATCACTGTGCCTTAAAGAATATGCTGTCCTTTCATAACACTTTTGTCTTGTCATCACAGACACTTTTGCTCAAGCAGATTTGTTTAAAGGAGTTTTAATGTTTGTTTAATGTAACAGGGTTTTTGTAGAATGAAGGATTCTAACAATAATAGCAGTGGGTTTATTTTTGTTGAGATGTTTTTAAATGCTTCAGTCAGTTCAAATCTTCAGTCAAGTCTTAGGCTGATTTTAAGAAGGAAAAATCAATGTCTTATTGACCATTAGTGCCAAAAACCAAATGTCAAGACAGTTTTTTGAAAGTTTCAAACACTATTTTTTCCAAAGCATTTCACCCAGCATGGTTCCATACTTTTGTAATTTATCCTGGAATTCTAACGAGAACGCAGATGCAAATATTTGCATTAAAATGCATATAAATATTTGTACCATTGAAACCGCCTCAAAGAGATTTTTCTGATGAAACAAGTAAACTTGCACTAATACTTTCATTGCTGGTCTGTCTTGTATATCATAATGCTGCACAATACGCCTTTTACAGCATTTCATTCTGTTCAAGAAAGATTATAGGGTGCATTACACGGTTATAGTTAGTTCCTGTGCTGTCTACCAGAGAGGAGTGCAATACTAGTGCAATACTGTTCAGATGGTGTGGTGTACTGACTCTGCTTAGAGCCTGCTGATGGAAGCACTCCAGATGAGTTACTGTAAATACATCTATTGAACACATTTCTGAAGATGCACTACAAAGAACCTCTATCACGTACCATTCCAAACACATCACAAAACAATGTTTTTGTGACAATATATTGGCTTATATAAGATAATTCAGATTTGTTTGTTTTGCAAAGTGAGTGTATAAAGCCTTTATCTATTTTTGTGGGTCTCCCTTTTGTCCCTATTTCTTGGTACATGTGTTTGTTTACTGTATTGACTTTGTGTTGAAATTTTCTTTTGTTGTTTTTTATTTAAGCAATCATAGACTTTATGCAGTACACTGACAACATCTTACACAAGTGACTTGTGTTACACAATATCATGATGCTGGATGTTAAATGATTTTGCGTACAAGAGCTGTGAAATAGGTTTTACAACGTGATATGTTTTGTACGTTTTTAAATGACATGCACAACATGAATGGACACATCACAAAATGAGCACAGATTGAAGCCGCTACTGGCCTTTAGGGGTCAGCAAAGGAGCGTGGGATTTCCTGCTCTTCAATATGTATACTTTCACAAGACTATTTCTTAACCTCACCTTTGTTGTTTTTTCACTATAAATCTATTGTATTTTGTTTTAATATTATTGTACAAAATGTTTAATAAAGATTTTATTTTAGGGCTCAGATAAAGATGATCACTTGTCTCTTTTCTCTAATACTTTCATGGGGCCATTTCTTAATAATGTTTATATTTCATTTGATATTTACTTTTAAGTCAGATTTTTACCAAAAACAACCGATAAACCGATAAAAAAAAATTTCTGTGACCGTTACTGCAGGATAAATGAAGGTTACAAATCAAGACAAATAGGTTCCAGATTTCAGCATCAGTCTTAATGAGATGCTGTAAATTTTCACCTCTATTTATGTCCTCTCTTTTAGAGCCCTTAACCACACACACACTGCCTTTGGGCACACGGTGAACCCATATAAGCACCAGGCAGCTGAAGTCAGCAGTATATAATTATATATGACTCATTTTTACATCACTGGGGTTTTATTCCAGCCTAACTTTTCCCCAGCAGCTCACTTATATAACAATTTACATCCAACAATCACTTGCATTTTTGTCACTCCAGACATTGTGATACATCATTATCAGTGGGATGCTGGTCTTCAGCACAAAATTTGACTAAAATGTATGAAACACATCAGCAATAGAAGATTTGATATCCAACAGGAGCAGTTTTTTTCTCTCTCTCTAATTGCTGTAGGTGGCAAACTGTTAGAGATTTAGCAAAACACTCATTTATAACATATGTATACATAAACCCAACGTGTTTAACATCTTAAAGAGATAGCTCACCCAAAAATGAAATAATTTACTCACCCTCATGTCATTCCAAACTGGTATGACTTTCTTTATTCTGTGGAAGATAAAACATATTTTGAGAAATCGTCACCATAATTGTAGCGAATCAGCTCATGGGGAAATATGAATAATTAACCATAACTAGTTATAATTAACTATTCATATATTAGATCCGCTGTAGATATTTAGCTGACCACTCAGGGTCAACTGTCTTGTAAATTCTAAGAACGTTAATTTCCTGGTTAAGGGAAATAACTTTCTTACTGTACAATTCTATAAGCTTGTAACGTAAATCTGCATGATTATTGACTCCGGTTATGAGCAAACAATGAACACGTCAGGTGACGAAATGTCTGTGTTTTTTGTCCATTAAATGGAAGTCAATGATCACCAAAATTGATTGGTTACCAATGTTCAATCTTCTTTCGTGCTCCTCAGAGGACATAAAGTCATACAGGTTTGGAACAACATGAGGGTGAGTAAATGATGATTTAAGTACTTCCACAATTATTTAAAAATGCTTAATTTTGAACCGTAGTTGATATTATCACCATAATATATGGCTAATATATTATGCTGTATCTTTTAGATTCAACATTTGTTGTCTTTTGGATCTATTGACAGCATCTGTGACTGTTGATTGCCTCAGAAAATTATGCTTGTCTATTAGTTTGTCAAAACAAAAACTGTAATGTTCTTACAATCGAAATGTGAGGAAAACATTCTGGTCAGAAATGTGCAGTTTGTATTATTATTAATAACCAACATACTTACATGTACATGGAAGTTCATAACTATTTTACATTTTGGGGACTTTGAGGCTAATTCATATAAATTTGTACAATCTCACTCGTGTTTTTTTTCTTTATTTTTTGTACGATCTGCTTATGCCCCACTAATGATTAGGTATAAGGTGGACCTTCATGCTTGTTTTCTCTAAAATCATGCTTTTCTGTATGAATCACATCATACAAATTAATACCTTGTAAAATAGTTGCATTTTCTCATGAGATCAGACTCTAAATAACAGAAATGTGTGTTGTTTAAACTGTAAAGTTGTCTCCAGTATCCTTTTAGCCTTATGATTAATTATTACAGAAGTAATTTTAACAACATTTCACATTTGTGGTAATTGACAGCACGCCGTGGAGACTGTCAAGAGATTAACTTGTATTGAACCCAGCACATTCCTTTAAGATTCCTCAGTGGAATCATAAGCCATCAAAAAGCACGCAGTGTGAAGTGCTTATATCTCAGTGAACAGAACCAAAGTGATTCATTTATCAAGATTTTATTATTGGACTGCAGTACGTACCATAGTTACATTTATAAAATGTTTTCTAACAGAAACCACGGTCATAACAGCAGACCTTTGTACAAACTGTATTTTGTGTTCTCTGAAGTCTGGTATACAGTCCATTAGGTTCTGGAGCATAATGGGTAATTAGCCTGATTAGTCTTTATGCCTTTAATCGTGTGGAAATCTCAACAGTCTGTTTGCGCTATATGCTGCTATATGCTGCTTCAGTGCCTCGTTTTATGGCCCCCTCTTGGAGCTAAATGGTGGTCTGGCTGGCAAAAGCGGGTGGAAAAGAACAGCATGTCAAAGTTAAAGCAGCGTGGCACAGCTTTAAAAATACACACATAGAGCTCAACACTGCCCCAAATGGAACTGACATCTGAAGATGAAATAATATTGCATGAAGGAATATTACAGTTGTCCGGATCAATTGTAGGCCTAAATATTTCTCCAAACTACGTTCTGTATATTCAGCTTCCTCAGCATCCAAGAAAAGAAATGTGTAAATGTTAAATCATAACTTAACTGAATTTAAAAATTGAAGATTTTCTGGAAGAAACACTAACAAAATGTGAGGGATTTGTAATCCCCTCACGCACCAGCGCTACATGGTGAAACTGGACATCGTCCCAAACCACAAGTTGCTCCAGTTGTTCCTACTGTGCCTCCGCTATTGCTCTCTCTTTTCTCTTTCCGCTTCCTACATTCTCTTCTATTTCTCTCTCATAATCTTTCACCTGTAGTACTCCAAGAAAATTATGTAATTTGTATGAAATTATGAATAGATACAATCTATTTAGGAAAACAGAACTGTGCTAATTGCTTAACAGTGTGTAACACCTCTGTTTGGAGAAATGTCTTATTGGTGTGGAAGCATTTACATCCTCTTTCTGATGCAGATCTACCTGCTGGATCGCACAAAGTCGTTGCCATTTGCTAAATCCTTTTTAAAAAGACCTGTGAGTCGTGCACACACAATTGCATTTCAACATTTGGAGCAATTCCTTCTGCACAGGTAAGATAGGCCACAAATGCAGAAATATACAACTGTACAAGTGCATGAGGTTGACAGATAATGCCAAGTCAAATCTGAGTGATTTGTTCCAATGCAATTCTTGGACATGCTCTGGTATGTCAGCTCTTCTGCTTTCACTGCTGACAGCACAGTTATTT